ACACACACACATAATAACATTCAAACAAGAAAAATATTAACATTTAAACACAAAAAAATAGTAATATTCAAAAATAAAAAATTAATAACATTGAGTATTAATGTTTGAGAAAATAAAAATAATAATATATTATATGAATAATAACATGTCCAACAAAATATAATAACATATTCACAAAACACTACAGTAAATAGTAATATTGTAAAAAAAAAACAATAATATGGAACATTCAAAAATAAAAAAATAGTAACATTTAATATATATATATATATATACACACACACACACACCGATAGAGAGTGTTTTAGTTGTTCTTTGAATTTGAATTTGAATTTTAAATTTATTAACATACCTTCATTGATAGTGAATTAAAGGATAACAATTTTTAAGTTAGGAAACTAATTTAAAATTATTTTTAAGGAAGAGTATTTTGAAGTTTTTAAAAAATAATGGACTTGACTACTTATTATTAAGATTAAAAATAAACTAAACTCATTATAAGCCTCTTAAGGAGTGCTCAGCCCAACTTTCACTATAAAGGGTCTAGGACCCAAATGGTGCCACTGGGTTCCACCTGCAACGGCCCAGGTGAATGGTTAGATTAGTTAAATTATGGTATCCAATTAATTATATCTTTATGCATTTGATAAAAAATATTAATAAGAACATTAGTATTGTACGTACAACCTCTTTCCATCACGTGACAATAATAATGTGATGTCACCGTTATACATAAACCATTCTTCTTTGTCTTTTGATAATCACCAAGTAAAATTTACGTTATCTATTTATAGGATTATTATAAAATAATGATATCACGTGACAATAATAATGTGATATCACCGTTATACATAACATTAGTATTGGACTTACAACCTCTCTCCTGAATCATCAAAGGAAGTTTCCAGTTTCAATGGTCATAGGCAACCTGAAGGATTGGTGTACAGACCCTAAATGGGCCAGGAAACGCACAATTTTGATGCTAATTCGAGTCACTTTCTTTGAGGCACCACTGGAAAAATGATATCTATCACCTCAATATAGCGAGGACTCAGCGGTTGGTCCGATGACCTCNAATATTAACATTTAAACACAAAAAAATAGTAATATTCAAAAATAAAAAATTAATAACATTGAGTATTAATGTTTGAGAAAATAAAANTGATAATTTAAATGTTTCAGGTTCAACACCTTTCATATTTTCTAAAGGTCAGTTACTCTTATTTTTCAGATGACATGTTTTAAACTTGTTCGACTTACGGTGGTCAGTATCTGAGTTCGAGAGAGTAGTCGCCGCAACCCTAAATATCCTATAATTAAAAAAANATGGGATCCAATTAATTATATCTTTATGCATTTGATAAAAAATATTAATAAGAACATTAGTATTGTACGTACAACCTCTTTTCATCACGTGACAATAATAATGTGATGTCACCGTTATACATAAACCATTCTTCTTTGTCTTTTGATAATCACCAAGTAAAATTTACGTTATCTATTTATAGGATTATTATAAAATAATGATACCACGTGACAATAATAATGTGATACTACCGTTATACATAACATTAATATTGGACTTACAACCTCTCTCCTGAATCATCAAAGGAAGTTTCCAGTTTCAATGGTCATAGGCAACCTGAAGGATTGGTGTACAAACCCTAAATGGGCCAGGAAACGCACAATTTTGATGCTAATTCGAGTCGCCTTCTTTGAGGCACCACTGGAAAAATGATATCTATCACCTCAATATAGCGAGGACTCAGCGGTTGGTCCGATGACCTCTACTTTGCAGTGGTTTGCATGTACTAATTAATAAAATCACGTTGTAAACTTTTAGGAGTAGTTTAGTAGTTGTCCTCCGATAATTTAAATGTTTCAGGTTCAACACCTTTCATATTTTTTAAAGGTCAGTTACTCTTATTTTTCAGATGACATGTTTTAAACTTGTTCGACTTACGGTAGTCGGTATCTGAGTTCGAGAGAGTAGTCGCCGCAACCCTAAATATCCTATAATTAAAAAAANCAATAATAATATATTATATGAATAATAACATGTCCAACAAAAATAATAACATATTCACAAAACACTACAGTAAATAGTAATATTGTAAAAAAAAAAACANAAATAATAATATATTATATGAATAATAACATGTCCAACAAAATATAATAACATATTCACAAAACACTACAGTAAATAGTAATATTGTAAAAAAAAAACANCAAAAGATATAAAATTCAATCACACACATATATGTATCACCTTTTGTAAGAAGTTTGGGCATCTATCCACTTACCCTNGAAAAGAAATAAAATTCAATCACACACACACACACACACATATATGTATCACCTTTTGTAAGAAGTTTGGGCATCTATCCACTTACCCTNCCACGTGACAATAATAATGTGATACTACCGTTATACATAACATTAATATTGGACTTACAACCTCTCTCCTGAATCATCAAAGGAAGTTTCCAGTTTCAATGGTCATAGGCAACCTGAAGGATTGGTGTACAGACCCTAAATGGGCCAGGAAACGCACAATTTTGATGCTAATTCGAGTCACTTTCTTTGAGGCACCACT